AGGTTCGCTCGCCGTGTCAAAAATCACATCTTCTCATACTACCAGCCAAGTATAAGTAGCTCAGAAGGTGAAATAATTCACACGACGAATGGACTTTCCATTCATCAAGCGTAACTACTATGTGTGAATCCCGTTATTGAAGGATGAGTGGCAGTATCGGATGTCTCAGTGGAATTCAATCTCACATAGGATCAGGTGCTCGGTTTCTCGACTTTTTGGCACACTTTCCGACTACACTTACAAAACGAAATTGGACTGAAAATTTCCAAATCTGCTCTCAAAAATATGAAATGGAAGCTTAAATTGGGATGCAAGTGAATGGCTTTCAGGGTAGTATGCAGTCCCACAGACCAGAAAACATGAACTACGGAGAAGCAAAATGTCCTCATGTGACTCTAGGTCGGTTCGTATGTATATCTATTCGAAAGTCCAGTAGCAGTAGGTGTATTAAGCGTAAACAGATGGGAAGCGAATCTACTGAACTGATCAATCAAAAAAATCAAAAGGAAACGAGTCAATACCATTCAGTCCCATTGTTCCCAGAAACCTGACGTTATTATTAAGTACTGAAGGTACTCCTCACCAGAAGAGCTCAAGAGAGAGTAACGGCACGCGCGCCCATGATCCACTGGGATAAAAATACTGGGGATGCGAATGTGACACTCCTCACAGCAAGTTGATCAACAGATAGTCAGACTAACAATATCCTGATTCCTCACGCTAGGGTTTGGAACATATGAGATGACCTGACTTCGAAAAGTTGGACCACTCTGGGAGGTTTCAGATTATCAACCACTATGCTTCGGTGCACATTCTGAATCGAAGAAAATGGCTGGGTATACCACACCTCCTACCTCTGAACATGGGCAGTGCCAACAAAGCTGCCACCGTGACGTGGTGGTCTGGCATGAGTATTTCAGTGATCCCGCAGGCTACACTGGCTGGAACATCGTTCCAGATGGCGCAATCATGTCAGAAAGGCCAAAGAGGGGCAGCCAGACCAAGAGCAGCGAGACCCCGTACTTAAAGTAATCGTGCTATGAGGTGTTCTGCGATTAAAGTCGTACTATCCTCTGCAACAAGAATGTGAAGGGAGTAAGGTGTACCCCCCCCCCCTCGGTGGCCAGCATGTCCGTATTAATGGAAGCACTGATGCTGCCTTCCCCGAGGAAGGACGGGTTAGAAAAGGTCGGCCCCAAAATCCGCACGCTCTGATCGCCCAACGGTTGGCCGTGATCGCCGACGCATCATTCAGTACGGTCGAAATGCTTTTGAAATCAGAGTCCAGTGCTGCTCAAAAAGCACTTGCTGCGGGCAACTGCATCAGGAGTGAGGAACTAATGCCTTACTCTCTACACCCAGGGGTTTTGCCAACTCCTTCAACCGAGTAGATGAGAGTATTGAATCATCGGCTCTGGGTAAGGTCACCAAGGGAAACACTAATGTCTGCTGCTTTGTGGGTCAGACTTCTCAGAGGCTAGGAGAAGGGTCCCCGAACTAAACCCTACATCCTCCCACTGTCTTGTGGATCAGACTTTTGAGTCAAAGGCTCAAGGTAGGATACCTAAACTAAACCTCGGCTTGGGTAACCGGGAAGTATTATTTGCCCGCATAGTTCTGTGTCCATTGACGTCCCTCCCCAACTCCTTCCCACCATAGAAACAGGCGGTACTGGGTCATTTGACTCAGTTATCTAACAGATGTGCCTCATGCTCCTCGCTGCATATAAACAAAATAAAGAATTTCCAACTCCACAAGATGCTTTCTAGATAGAAGCTTTTAACGTCTGTACTCTATGTAAAATTTTCAAACAGGCAATGTTCCTGAAACCCTAACTCCACAAGATGCTTTCTAGATAGAAGCTTTTAACGTCTGTACTCTATGTAAAATTTTCAAACAGGCAATGTTCTCTGAAACCCTGTACTCCCTTAAAATTGGCATATGCTGTGTCTCCGAAACACGCATACAAGACCCACGCGTGGTTATGCATCTAAGAACACCAAGGACGAGCTAAGGTCTTTCACATTTCTCCATCCTTGTGTCCGGTGATCCAAAAGCGTTGACTCGTGGGAAATATGGTGTGAGAGTTGCACTCAGCCTCAGAACTGAACGCGCTTTGCTGAATTGGATCCAAGTGAACAGTCGTCGTTGCGCTGTCCGGTTTTCCAGCTCAATAAAACTCAACACCTCTCGACGTAAAAGGCGGTGCCTGTTTGTAGTATTGGCTTGTGCCCCAACGGACTGCAGCTCTAACACTGAGAGGGATACTTCCTACCGAGAGTCATCCAGGCTTATTCGTCCAGAAAGAAGCCCCAATACTGTGATCCTTGTGGGCGATACGAATGCTCAAGTCGGTCGTCTGAGCTCTTTGGAATTACATTTGGAGTGTCGATTCAGAGTCGATATCCGTCGCACAGACAACGGAGAGAAACTCATCCAATTGTGTTGACCATCAACTGTTTCTGGCCAGCACGAACTTACAGCATAAACAATGCCATTTTCATCGGGCAATATGGAATTTAAAATTGAAACCCCCAGGAATAATGCTGTTACGTGCATTATCGCACTCAAAACAGCCTTCCGGGGGGACGATCTAGCGGAACTACTGGCCAAAGACTACCAGAAGCTAATACGGGGATGAAGCATGGTAAAATGTGAAAGGAGCTATGCTAGAGGCGTTCAGTGCTGTCTGTCAGACTTCTCCGATTCGACCACAAGATCACTAAGTGTCGTCGAGAGCGCTATCCATGATTAGTGCTAGGAAATCCATACCAGCAGACGAGTACGACGACGCACGCAAAACCCCCATAAGCCAAATAGTGAAGAGCCTAAGGAAAGATTTAGAGTTCTGGTGGATATCGAAAACTCGTGCGATGGAGAAGGCTTTTGCTGCCAGCTCATGCCTGCGGATGAGCAGATTGAAGTATTAAACAAGTTTGTATAGCTGGGTAGCTGTATCATTTCCGGTGTCCTCGCGAGAGGTATTTCCATCCGGATTGGAAAGGCCAGATCGACTTCTGTGGACCTGTATCACCTGCGGCGTAGGCGCGATACCAGTTTATCTGTCAGGGGTCAAGTTTACAATGCTGCCATGCGTTTTAATTTACCATACGGATCAGAAACCTGGTCACTGAGCGCTGAAGACGTAAAAGACGTTCAGTGTTTGACAATCGATGTTTTCGAGGCACTACACGAGTCTGGTGGAAACATCGGATCATAAGTACGTCGAAAGGTTTTCGAAAGAAATGACGATTGATGACGATTGATGAACCGATCACACTCCATAGGTTGCAATGCCTTGGTCACATGCTCTGTATACCAGTCGACCGACCTCTCGAAGGGTTCTCTTCGCACAATCACGCGAAGGGTGGAAGCGAGCCAGGGAAGGTCAAACAGTGACTTGGCGGCAACCTATGAAAGCTATTACCAGAAAACTCTGCGGCGCTGGTCATTACCGTCTACCGGGATAGGGACCCCTAGACGGGACACATTAATGCTGAGAGGCATTGTCAGACATGGCCCAGTCGTGCCATCAATTGCGTTCGTGCATCCAAGTTATTGTCTTCACTGTAGAGATCCCTTCTCAAAATCACCACGTAAAACTCCACCCACAATCCCGGATCATTTATATCGGCTCCCGCTTTCAACGCGCATCTACCTACCTCACCTTCCCAAGTTATCGGTGTATGAAGCTGTGGCAGCTATGACCACTGTACGACAAGACGAGGTTCTTAAAGCTGACGATGATGATGTAATATTTTTCTAAATAAAACCGTGAGTTGCACCCTCCCATATTTTATGCAGAAGAGCTGGCAAGCGAAAATAGGCTGGTGCTTAAGCCGCCTATCATTTTTCATAATCAGTTTCTAGAATCCACCATCCCTCGCTGCTTGGTCACTGTTTTGTAGGTGCCAGCTAAACACATCTCTCTCTTACAGTCGAGTGTGGTTAATAACACGAAACCGCCAATAAGTGATGTGTTCCCTGCTCCCCTCAGGCCTCAATTTCTGCTTATATTGTAGCCTTTAGATTAGGGCTCTTATGCAAGCCAGCCAAGGAACCGCTCGAACGGTTCTAAAACTGATGGAAACTAGGTCGATGCATACTCGCATTTGCACATGAATTTGGTTCTGACAGGAGAATAAATGAATCCAGCTGAATCTATCGCTTATGATGATTTGCTTACGTTCAAGTGGACACAAATTTACTGCGTTTTCGGGAAACAATGACGCCAGAAACTGACAAAACCCATCTAAGTAAGAAAACCAATAGCGTATGTGGCGCTATCTGACTGGGAAGTCCTGAGTGTTGGGTCAATCGATCGACATATCCAAGGTATGTTACTGCGTCGTCGTTCGAGGCGTCGGGCCTTCCGCTCACAACACTCAAGCGTAAACATCTTCGCCTGTTCAGACGTAAATTATTGAATGAGTCCAGCGTGAGCTGATGAAGTAGTGGTAACACGCTGGACTTGCATGTAAGATGTGCGGAGTTCAAACCCCGGTACGGCCATTGAGTATGCACTGTTGATGAACGAAACTCGAGTCCAGTGCCTCCTCCCCTTTGATGTGGACTCACCAGGACAGGAGGATGTGAGTGTGTATTCTACAAAATCCCGCAACGACCAACACCTGAAGTGATTGAGTTAGTTCACTTAGACGAACAAAATAACCGTAACAAGGAATACTGTGAAGAACACGCAACCTGACAGTACCGGTTGTGCAGGATCTGGTGTAGATCATCGAAAATTGTGGTGCCATGGAAGCCCTGTTTACGGCGGCGTCTCAGAGCCACGCAGAATGAAGTGAGTCAAACTCCATGCAGATCCACCGTCAACCTAATGTTTCCCCTGGTAGTGCCCTGGGGATGTCCCGGTTAGTAATAACTACCTCTGAGGAGATAAAACCAATTTTTTCTTGCTACTGGCCGCATGGGTGCTAATAGGACAAGAGAGGCATACCATAAAAAGGAACAGAGAGAAAGTACTCACGTAGTACCACCCAGTGAGGCGTTTGCTTGATTGTCTTGAAAACGGCGATGGCACTGTTAGGTACGGGGATCCGACAGAAGAGCAAAGGTGGTCTGAGAGAGACGTAGGGTGTGAGGATATCACGTCACGCGGTGCTGTCATAGCCGCTGTCACTTCCAAAGAGAATAACGAATGTGGAGCAGAGGTAGCCGCGTCAAACGGTCGCAAATGGTCGTTCTTGGCTTCGGACGATGGAGATGAGGCGAACAAATGCGTAACCTGTATACGAGGAGGACAAATCACAAACATAACGACCAAACGGCCCTGACTGAGGTAAAACTGTTACCAGGATTAACGAGTATGCATCATCATCATCAATGACATCAACATCAGTGTTGGCACTGATACTTCACTGCCGTACAACCATAAAGTTCGTTTAGCTATATATATATATATATATATATATATATGTTCAACAGGGCTTGTGCTTCGCTAAGGTCTTCAAAGATGAGGGCGATGTCATCTGCGTACTCCAGATCGACAAGGCTCTCGCCAGCAACA